CATCTACCAAGCTCTCCGGGTGTTTTTCCACTGCAGCCTCCATCACTCTTCACAATCAGACACAGGGGCTAGAATTTATGACAACTGGATTTCAGTCTAGAAGATCTTGCACTGCTAGAATTGACGGCAGTTGGATTACAGGTTCCCTATAATTACAGGAGTCTCTTAAGGTTTTATTCAAGAGCCTTTCTTAGCTTTATAAAGAAATAATTGAAAATGGGATCTTTTGCCTGCCTTCACCAATGAGCAAAGATTCCATGCCAACTTTATTGGAAAACTATATATATTGTCACAAATGAAGGCAAATATACATATCCCAGGATAATGTTGCAGGATCCAATCTGAGTTGGTCACCAGGACTAGAGGCTTAGTTTTCTGAGATTTTGGACTCGCGAGCCCATCCTCAGGGAACTTCTCTTTCACACATTCTGATGAGAGAGAAGTTCCCTGAGGAGGGGCCCCAGCACGAATCCAAAAACTCAGAATACTAAATTTCTGCTCCTGATGACCGACCCAGATTGGATCCTGCTATATTTATTGTCTCTCATTAGCTCATGGTGTTTAATACCAGGTTGTTTCATCATAGTTTGCTCAATAAACTGCCAACGGATTAGCTTTGTGTATCACATTAAACTACAAAACATGGCTCATGCAGTTGTTAGGTTTCCATCACACAATATGCCAGAGCCAAAGAAACCATTTTACCATATGTGAATCCTGCCAAAATCTACTTAATATTGCACAGTTTTTGAGTACAACCAAATGGTACAGTGTTGATTAATTATGCTGGGCCAAAAAACAGATATTGAAAAGAAAGCAGCAATCTCCAGGCTGTCTGCAGCAGCCTCCCCTAATCCATTCCTTCTAGATGAGCTTGTTTATTTGCTAGGTTTATATCCCACTTTTTATTCAGGAACTCAAGGGAGCATACCCAGTGCTCTCTCCTCCTATTGTTCCCACAATAACAACCCCAATGAGTTTTCACAACTGAGTGTGGATTTGAAGTTAAGTCTCACTTCTTCAATCCAACAATTTAACCATACACCAGACTGCTTACAACGCCATCATTTGCTGCCAGGACAGATCCCTACTTTGGATAGGCATCAGTTTGGAGAAATCTATGTGCAGCCTATACAGGAACGGTAATTTTTGAGTGCTCTCATTTTCTTGTATAAAAATCTTGACGCATCTTTCAAGTGGGCAAAAACACATATTAAAGCATATTTGTCTCATTTCCCCAAAATACTTTACAGTAATATGGTATTTTCCACTTTTGTACTGCTAATCATGTTCTCAGAACACATGAAATATGAAAAGCTGTTCCTTGAGCATGTTTTTTTCTGCTGCTTTTCCTCTCAGATTTTAGCATTCTTGTTTCAGAGATGATGGGGTCTGCGGCATTCAAATCACGCCAATAACATTGGCTCAGTGGCAAGCAATATGTTGCATAGTTTAGTTATTAATTTTACAGGGCTTGAAATCAGCCTCATCTGAATTGTATGATTTTCTGACAAATAGGACCTTAAAAAAAATAATAGTTGTATTGACTATTACTATTTTCTTCAGTTTGACTCTTACGGAATAACATTTTTAAAATTATTTTAGGGCCTCTTCGTTAGTGGTATTATTGGGGATCGTTTGAACATGCGCTGGGTTCTGGCATTTGGGATGTGCTCCTCTGCCTTAGTGGTAAGTTGGAAAATCAAAGTTGGTAAAATATGCTATGCTGGTAGTATTTGACTTTGAATTTCTGTAATAGAAAGAGTACAGAGAAGACCAACAAAGATGATTAGGGGCCTGGAGGCTAAAACATACAAGGAATGGTTGTTGGAATTGGGTATGTCTAGTTTAACGAAGAGAAGGACGAGGGGGGACATGATAGCAGTGTTCCAATATCTCAGGGGTTGCCACAAAGAAGAGGGAGTCAAGCTATTCTCCAAAGCGCCTGAAGGCAGGACAAGAAGCAACGGGTGGAAACTAATCAAGGAGAGAAGCAATCTAGAACTAAGGAGAAACTTCCTGACAGTTAGAACAATTAACCAGTGGAACAACCTGCCTCCAGAAGTGGTGAATGCTCCAACACTGGAAGTTTTTAAGAAGAGACTGGACAGCCATTTGTCTGAAATGGTATAGGGTTTCCTGCCTGAGCAGGGGGTTGGACTAGATGACCNCATCTACCAAGCTCTCCGGGTGTTTTTCCACTGCAGCCTCCATCACTCTTCACAATCAGACACAGGGGCTAGAATTTATGACAACTGGATTTCAGTCTAGAAGATCTTGCACTGCTAGAATTGACGGCAGTTGGATTACAGGTTCCCTATAATTACAGGAGTCTCTTAAGGTTTTATTCAAGAGCCTTTCTTAGCTTTACAAAGAAATAATTGAAAATGGGATCTTTTGCCTGCCTTCACCAATGAGCAAAGATTCCATGCCAACTTTATTGGAAAACTATATATATTGTCACAAATGAAGGCAAATATACATATCCCAGGATAATGTTGCAGGATCCAATCTGAGTTGGTCACCAGGACTAGAGGCTTAGTTTTCTGAGATTTTGGACTCGCGAGCCCATCCTCAGGGAACTTCTCTTTCACACATTCTGGTGAGAGAGAAGTTCCCTGAGGAGGGGCCCCAGCACGAATCCAAAAACTCAGAATACTAAATTTCTGCTCCTGATGACCGACCCAGATTGGATCCTGCTATATTTATTGTCTCTCATTAGCTCATGGTGTTAAATACCAGGTTGTTTCATCATAGTTTGCTCAATAAACTGCCAATGGATTAGCTTTGTGTATCACATTAAACTACAAAACATGGCTCATGCAGTTGTTAGGTTTCCATCACACAATATGCCAGAGCCAAAGAAACCATTTTACCATATGTGAATCCTGCCAAAATCTACTTAATATTGCACAGTTTTTGAGTACAACCAAATGGAACAGTGTTGATTAATTATGCTGGGCCAAAAAACAGATATTGAAAAGAAAGCAGCAATCTCCAGGCTGTCTGCAGCAGCCTTTCCTGATCCATTCCTTCTAGATGAGCTTGTTTATTTGCTAGGTTTATATCCCACTTTTTATTCAGGAACTCAAGGGAGCATACCCAGTGCTCTCTCTTCCTATTGTTCCCACAATAACAACCCCAATGAGTTTTCACAACTGAGTGTGGATTTGAAGTTAAGTCTCACTTCTTCAATCCAACAATTTAACCATACACCAGACTGCTTACAACGCCATCATTTGCTGCCAGGACAGATCCCTACTTTGGACAGGCATCAGTTTGGAGAAATCTATGTGCAGCCTATACAGGAACATTAATTTTTGAGTGCTCTCATTTTCTTGTATAAAAATCTTGACGCATCTTTCAAGTGGGCAAAAACACATATAAAGCATACTTGTCTCATTTCCCCCAAATACTTTACAGTAATATGGTATTTTCCACTTTTGTACTGCTAATCATGTTCTCAGAACACAGGAAATATGAAAAGCTGTTCCTTGAGCATGTTTTTTTTCTGCTGCTTTTCCTCTCAGATTTTAGCATTCTTGTTTCAGAGATGATGGGGTCTGCAGCATTCAAATCACACCAATAACATTGGCTCAGTGGCAAGCAATATGTTGCATAGTTTAGTTATTAATTTTACAGGGCTTGAAATCAGCCTCATCTGAATTGTATGATTTTCTGACAAATAGGACCTTAAAAAAATAATAATAGTTGTATTGACTATTACTATTTTCTTCAGTTTGACTCTTACTGAATAACATTTTTAAAATTATTTTAGGGCCTCTTTGTTAGTGGCATTATTGGGGATCGTTTGAACATGCGCTGGGTTCTGGCATTTGGGATGTGCTCCTCTGCCTTAGTGGTAAGTTGGAAAATCAAAGTTGGTAAAATATGCTATGCTGGTAGTATTTGACTTTGAATTTCTGTAATAGAAAGAGTACAGAGAAGACCAACAAAGATGATTAGGGGACTGGAGGCTAAAATATATAAGGAACGGTTGCTGGAATTGGGTATGTCTAGTTTAACGAAGAGAAGGACGAGGGGGAACATGATAGCAGTGTTCTAATATCTCAGGAGCTGCCACAGAGAAGAGGGAGTCAAGCTATTCTCCAAAGCACCTGAAGGCAGGACAAGAAGCAACGGATGGAAACTGATCAAGGAGAGAAGCAACCTAGAACTAAGGAGAAACTTCCTGACAGTTAGAACAATTAACCAATGGAACAACCTGCCTCCAGAAGCAGTGAATGCTCCAACACTGGAAGTTTTTAAGAAGAGACTAGACAGCCATTTGTCTGAAATGGTATAGGGTTTCCTGCCTGAGCAGGGGGTTGGACTAGATGACCTCCAACTTTTTATTATTATTATTATTATTATTATTATTATTATTATTATTATTATTATTATTATTATTATTATTATTATTATTATAACATTTCTTCAGAGATCACTTCTAAGTAAATGAAGATATTGCATTCAAGAAGCTCAGTAGGACCTTCACCTTTATAAAAGAATGCATGGACTGAACATTTTGATGTATCTGTACTGGAGATTGCATTTTATAACCAAAATATTCCTGAGACTTCAGCTTGTTAAGATATTTTTGAGAGCAAAAGAGGAAATGGACTAGGACACTTGTGAGGGGGCCTTGGTGCTCTGTGAGCTTGCTTGTTTTCTTGCAGATGTTTCATTACTCTGACAAATCAGCCATCAATAGACACATAGACAGTAGCCACATCAAAAGAGACAATCAACTAGCCCAAAGAGAAAAAGACTCCAGCGCCTCTCCACCAGTAATCAGCACTCAGATCAGGTCCACTTCAGACCAACAATCAAGTAAGCAATACCCCAGTCAAGAAACTGCCGAAGAACCATTAGTAAACAGCCCAACCAAAGAATCCCTAAGACTGTCACCATCCACACAGACAGGCAAGACACCAGAATATAAACTGGCAGCAAACAGCATTCCTTTCTAGCACTGATGGTGTTACCTAGTTAGGGTAATGAAACGTCTGCAAGAAAACAAGCAAGCTCAGAGAGCGCCAAAGACCCCCCCCTCATTTCAACTCTGAGCTACATTGGTAGAACACTTGTTGCTGAAACCATTTTATTGCAAATTACAGTTATTGTGCAGTGTAATTTTTGTTTTTTAAAGAATTTCTAACATGCAAGCTTCTGTACACTGAAGCTTGCACTTGGAAAAATCCAGTTTTCTTGTTTGGTAACACATAGAAAAAATAATTACTAAAATTAGCTTTCATGCCGTAGTAATTAGAGATGTTGTTTTCAAATGCCTGAGTTATTAGGGTGTACCATGTGAGTGAAACTCCTTCTTTCTTTAAAGCCAGGCCTTATTTAAATTATGGATGATTTTCCCTTCTGCCTTACATTCTCAGAAAGCATTTGGCTCCTATCCCCAGAGTTGTGAATAGCTATTGGTTTGGCTTCCTGTGATGAGCTAAAATCATTTCAAGGTGCCCAGATAGATCTTAACTTGTAGCCTATAAATAATATAGACCACGGCTAGAAAGTATTGTGGATTTATTTGCCAGACTAATTTGGGATTGGCACTACATTTCCTTCTTCTTCTTGTTTGTTTTCAGGTGTTTGTGTTTGGCACTGTCACCGAATGGCTTCATTTCTACAACAAGTGGTTCTACTGCTGCCTGTGGATTGTGAATGGCTTGCTGCAGTCCACGGGCTGGCCCTGTGTTGTAGCTGTCATGGGAAACTGGTTTGGCAAAGCTGGGTATGCAAACGTTGGTTTTTTCCCCTTGTACATATTTTTTAGTGGCTTTCCTCTCCACTGTGTGGTTATTGTGCAAAGCTCCTCTTCCTGTTAAACATGTGTTGCCAGTGTGTCCACATTGTTTTGTTTACTGAACAAACTGGTCCTGGCCATGTGATCATAGTTTGTTGAGTTGCATTCCTGCCAAAATGAAAATGCGAAATTGTACTTTATCCTATTTATAAGGACATTAGGCTGGTTGTCCTTTTGAAAAGAATCAGTAGATTTAACAAGGATTTGGGTGCAAGTGTTTGATTGTTTAAGTATAAGGTTTATTACTGCCTCAATCCTCATGGATTTTAGGTGGTTTATAAGATGTTAAGATAAACAATAAATAGCATACTATTAAGAATACGAAGGATTACAACAGAAGTATGTGTTGCATGTTGGTGTTATAAATGTGCATGGAAATATCTCTATGAATATGTGTGAGGACCATCCTTATGTCAGGGGACGAGCCATTCCTGAGGAGGAGAACGGCTGCTTAGAAGGCTAATTGTTGAGCCCACTCTCCTCCATTTCTGTTAGATAAGGCCTCTCTGGCCACCTGGGTTGAATGGAAGGAATCTATATGAGAAAGGTAGTATCTTCAATGCTTTCGGATTTTAAAAATAT